TGCACCGTCAGCCTGGCCCGTCGTTCACCGGATCGGCTCACCCTGCTAGATCTCAGCAATGAATCGAGTGTGCTCACCATCCGGGTTGGTGATTTCTGCTTGAGATGCACGAGAAGCCACGTGCCGGCAGTTGCTCTCGGACCGAAAAAGGCCAGCCTCTCGGACCGAAAGATCTCAAAAGACCACACCGCCCACCGCACCAAAAGCAGGTCTTTCCCCTGAAATCATCCAAAAATGCAGCGGCTTCGTCCCCCCCCCCGTGAACCGCGCCTTCACCATGGTGGTGTTCATCCGGCTGGGCACTTCTAAGCTTCCGTTGCCACACTGCAGACTGAGGCGTTGGATGACGCCCGCCTTCCGGTCGCTCCAATAAACGAGCTGGGCTTCTGGGTCGATGGCAATGCCATAGGGCATGCTCATGCCTCGGGTGGAGGAAGCAGAAATCGATAAATAAACATTGACATAGAGCACAGGAAACATCAGGAAACAGGATTTAGAAATGCCATAATTTAGGACCTTAGGGTGGATCTACGCAGTCTTTGGCAGAGAGGGAGAGTGAGTGAGTGACAAGGACAAGTTGGACTCACAGGGACTCTTGGCCTCTCTGAACTCTAGTTCCTCTTCGCCACTTCCTCTTGTGAAGCCCAAACTCCCAGTGCCTTTTTCGGTCCGAGCAGCCATCCTCGTTGATGAGGACCTCCGCGCCGCTCCCGTCGAGGTTCGTGCGGATGAGCCGACCGTTGTAGTCCGAGCTGCTCCCGGTGAACCTCGACGAAGGGAACTCTCTGGAGACTCGGAGTGGGGCGGAGTGGGGCGGAGGAGAACGGCAACCTCCAACTACGCTTCTATGCGCGTGGCATCAACAACCTCACAATTGCATTTGATGTGTGTGTGTGTGTGTGCGCCTTCACAGGGTTCCATTGCCTCGTCGTGGCCGAGGTCTTTTTTGCGGCTTCTCGCATTCCCAGCCCCACCCTCCACCACATCAGCCACGATTGTCTTCCCGGAAGCCCAGCAGCTCCCCCGTCTTCTCGAAATCGGCCATGTAGAGCTTCCGGCCCACCTCGTCCACGGCCATGCCTCGACGACCGACAACAGGGAACAAGGTCACCCATCGCAGCAGCTCCAGCCCCCAAGAAAATCCAAGCCAATCCCCTGAGCTAAAACAGCTAAAACACACCCAAATAGCTTAGCATCACCTAGCTGCCCAAAGCATCCACTAATCCAGCAGAGGGACCATAAGTGTTCATGATCGCCCAGCTCATGTTCAAGGATTGCACCTCCAACGGTCAAAAGGCGCACATCAAACAAAGAAGGCTCAAACACGTAACGTCACAAAAGTCACAAAAGTCCAAACATAGAATCAATAAGAACATATTTACAAGAACGAGAAGGGAACAAAAAAGGGACGTCACAAAGCAACCACTTGTGCACCCATGACGGGGCGTCTCGGCACCTCTTGCCCATCCAACCAGCTGCGCTCCGTGCGCGCCCGGCCCACGTCGCTCCAGTAGATGTGACCGGCTGCGCTGTCCACCGCCACGTCTACGGGTGAGGCCAGGCCGGTCACGATGGGCTCCTGGTGGCTCTCTGCGCGGGCGGTCGCGCCGGTCCCGGCGGGGACCGGCGGTGTGGGCGGTGGAAGAACAAGGCCGAGAGACACATAGAGACACATGGAGACACGTGCTGCCCATGTGCTGAGTGAAGATAAGGAGATGAAAATAGCTTGCACATGGTTACCACGCTGCTGAGTGGAAGAGTGAAGGTTGGTTCGGCTGGTTGGTCCAATGAGTTTGGATTGGACGAAAGAGTTGGGGGAGATGATTCAATCGAAGCACAGAAGTTCATTCATTTACAGCCCTGAGCTCTGATTGGATGCCACTGCCCTCACAAAGCAAATCTCTATATGACCTGCCAGGAGCTACAACTAGGGGATGCTGTGGCTGCACCTGTGGCCTTTCCATCTCGAAGATGTTGGATTTGAGAGTTCGAGAAACGAAACACTGGGCTGAAGAACATTCCATCTTCCCAATCAGCGTTGCTGTGCCATAGAGTGCTCGGACCTCACGCGCGCGAAACCCGCGTCGTGAGCCTGGCGCGCTCTTCGCCGCGCCCAACCGGTGGGTCCTCAGTTCCCGAGGTGCTCACGTCTCGCCGGAAAATGCGGCCTCGGCGCAGCGCCAAACCTCCCCCGCCCCGGGGGGATCGGGTCGAAGCGCGTCTCGCGGGAAGAAGCGGAAGGGAGCTGAGACAATTTGCACTGGTCGGACAACATGTCATCATGCTTGCTTTGATGCCAGGTGCAGTAGAATAGGATTGACCCAGCAGACACCTGTAAACGAGCCACGTGACCACATGTATTAAATGTGTTTGGCTAGGACAAGGACGACCTGTTTTTTCATCACCGCCCCAGGTCCCTCAGGCTGAACGTCGCCCAGGGGCCATTCATCCAATCAGCCCAGTAGACGAAGCCCTCCAAGATGGCCACCCCACCTGGGCTGAGGCGCAGGCTGCGTGGCGCGTGGTGAGTGGGGAGCTCGGATCTTTGAGAGCTGGGCGTGGGGTGAGTGTGCTTGGGTGGCACTCAGGTACAAGATGGGGCTCCAAAGGCAAAAACTGAAGGATTGAAAGACAAAAAAAAAGTGCAGAGATTGTAGACTCACTTGCCCCTCTTTGAGAGCCTCCTAGACTCTTCTCACTTCTCCCTTAATGGCCTCCTGAGCGTTGGTCAGGGCAAGAGAAAATCACCTGACTCACCTGTACAAGGTGAGCCCTAACAACACGAGTGAGTGTGCCGTGCTGGGGTTGTCTCACCAACTGGTGGGATACCCACGTACCAATAAAGGGCCACAAGGGCATAGAGGTAACTGAGAAACGACACCCTTTTGGTTGACCAAAAGCCTCTATACTACAAATTAGGGTTCTCCGAATTAGAGGATCCTGGGCACTGAGGATGGAATCTGAGCCTATCAATCCTTTTATGTTTAATGTAGACTCTCGACTAATAGAGCCTCCCAGTTGAATTGGAAATGCTCTTCATATGGAGAGCTTATCAATCAAGAGTCTACATTACGAGGATTCCACCGTGATGACGTGCGTTGCTCTTGGCTCCTTGGGCCGAGCCGGAGGCCGCGCCCGTGTTAACATGGGCGCGGTCTGCTTCCTCCACGCCACTCGCGAACTCGGCGCTGGCGACCACCTCCTCGTTCTGCCCATCCAGGTCCGCGCGCCGGAGACCGCAGCAGAGCGCGGTCCAGTAGACCTCTCCGGCACCAAACGCCCCGACCGAGGGAGGTGTTCGACCGCCGACCGGAGAACGAGAAACGCGGTGCTCGTGTTTTCGGAGCGCTGCCCACGCGAAGGTGGTGCAGCGCGCGGCGGCCGAAAAGCGCGCCTTGCGGCTCTCGGAATCCACCGCCACGTCGCGGGGCGCCTCCTGGACTTCGGTCTTTACAATGACCTCGGCCGGGCGGCGGACGGTGGTGGTGGGGGGGGCAAAGCGGGCAGAGTTGGAAGCTGTTGAAGGTGCTCTTGAGATGCAAGATAACAAACACCGGGGGGTTGAGTGAGGCCTTGATCTAATGGGAACTGGATTGACGAATAAGTACCTGGGCTTGGACATGAGCAAATGGATACAGGCGAAGGAGGTACTGACAAACACTATAGTCTGATAGATGCAAGGCACGTGCCATTTGGGGTTCTGTGTGCTGGCTTACCCGACCGACATGTGTCCAAGCGCGGACAACATCATGGAGGTGGGCTCCATTTACAGTAATACATGGTAATACCTTCCCACGCAAGAATCTATCGCCATTCTGCAGCAGATCGAATCTGAGGAAATTACAAAACCCTCCAAAACCCACAACAGTCGGCAACTTTTGTGAAGCGAACACGAACTGTTTGAACACAAGCCCTTCCATCATGTTCCTGCAACCCCTGCCATCCACTCCAAGGCTTCCACAACCAACCCTCAAACCCAAGAAACCCCATCACCCTCAACCCACCCCTCTCCACCATCCGCATGGATCCCACTTCCGAGCAGCGTCCTGGATATCCTGTCCGTCCAAGGTGGCGCTGCGGAGCTTCTTGGTCCCATCTTCGGCCCAGTACATGCGTCCTCCCGGCAGGTCCAATGCCAAGCCCCTTGGCATCCTCGGCTCGCGCCGCCGCTGGGTGGACGTGAAGGGGGAACTTGTGATTCTTGGCTTGGTCCTTCTTCCGTCAGCACGCCCGCACTTCTTGAAGTCGTGTTGGAGGAAAACGGGGTGCCGGCCTGCAACCCAGAGACCGTCTACTTTCCGAAGACAAAAAGGTACCGATGTCCACAGCAATTGAGTATCTTCGCTCTTTCCGCCCAAGTAGCTTCAAGCCGGTGAGGATGTCCAGAACCGCATGCGCATGATGCAGGCTCTGCAGAATGCAGAGCGCTACCACCCCCGATGCACAGCGCATGGGGGGCCTCCGGGCATCGCGATGCGACGCGCCCGGGCCCCGCCGTTTTTGGCCTCGTCCTGCTTGAGCCACGGTGGCAGCAAATAGCTGCTGGCAGTCCAAAAATCCCTACAGCAACACAAAAGAGTGAAAAAATTGAAAGCGAAATGACTGCTCAGACGGCTCACTAACGCCTGACTACCACCTGCAACTGGGAAGGTCGAAGTCTTTCTTGGTACAGGCAAGTATCATGACACAATGCAATGAAACAGGGCGGTGTGCATAAATGCCTCAAAGCAGTGCGAAGGTGCTATTTCGGCAAAGAGCGCGCAAAGTCCTCATTTGGGGGGGCAAGTCTATCACCAAAGAGCACTACATGAGTCACATGAGTTGTCCCGGACGAAAGTTGCAATCATCTTGCCGGAACCCCTTTGCGCATTGTGACCACGCCAAAGCCTCGTTATCACCATATCTTAAGTGGTAGAAAAAACGGAGCAAACTGGACCTGCCTCACCAGCACCTGCCCACGCATGCCATCCACGGCACCGCAAAACAGCAGGGGCCCGGACCAGGCGACGCCCGAGGCGAAGAAGAGCGTCAGGCTGCAGGACAAGGGCTGCACCACGAAGCCTGGGACGTGACGGAGCCTGGCGTGAGCGTCCTGCAGCACAAACCCACGTAGGTAGTGACCAGAAGACAGGACTGCCACATGGAAGTTGTCAATGCTGGAGAAATCGGAACCCTGAAGGCCTGAACAAGAAACGGTTGTGTCAAAGGTAGTTGGGGTTCTTCACAACAAGATAGGGACCGCTTGAAACTCTCTCGTAGTGAAGCCAAGCGATTGTAGTATTTGCACTGCACGTGTAGACAGCATGAGGATTCGGACCCACACACTACCTTCATTCAAACACCTTCCAGGGCCCACCACCCCAAGCACATTCCTTCCCTGCCATTATCACTGCACATGGGGCTGGGCCCCCCAAACCCATGTAGTCGTGGCCCAAGCTCATGCCCAAAGGCTCCATGGCCTTTTCAGCCTGAAAGTGATGCACGCCGCGAGCCGCTGAGCGACGTGTTGTGTGTGTCGATGGAGCCTGATGTTTGATTCCAAAGGGTTTGTTCATTTTTGTTCCAGGGTTAGGGTGCAGTTTTGGGGTTCTCACGACAGATTCAGAACTATGGGAGTTCATCAATGTGTGTGTGTGTGAGTTCATCAAATCGGTGTGATCGTGTGTGATTGTGCTGATGTGACATGTTGAATGGCCCGTTGTGTTGCGGGCTCCACGCCCTCACCCACCCCTGCATTCTTGCGATTCCTCCCTGTTCGCACCCAATCTCGGCAAAGAACCGGCGCACCTCGCGTGCCCTCAGGTCGGCGGTAAAGCTACGGCTGTGCCTGGGCGCTACACCGACGCTCTATGGGGCACTTCACCCCTCCTCTTGTTGAAGATCAAAATGGCCACCCCATCACTGCTGCGGTCCACGTCCAATTCTCCACACGCACCGCCCCTGTGGCTGCGACCAAAAGCGCAAGAAGGACATGGTCGACACCGCAGGCCTCGCTGCTGCGCAAAGCGACGGCAGAGCTTGGTGCTAGCACATGGTGGCTGGAAGAGCGAACAGAAGGCCGTTTTAATGCAAGTGGAGGATGTATATGACGTTCAGGGTTGCACCTTGTCAGCCCAATTACAGGTGATACAGCAAGGGATGAGTCTTCCACACTTACTACCTGTTCAAAAACAGTCAAGTAGGCAACTGGAGGCGTCCAGCTGGTTGTCTGGCTCTCCTACCAGGTAGTAGCAAGGCAAACTTTGTGGAAGACAAATCAAATTCGCATAGATCAAAGAGATTGGCTCGGGAGGAATGTCCCCCGAAGATACAAAGTTCGGGAGGTTAGTGTCCCATGCTGCCGTGGCCGCGCCCTAATCCACGGAGCTGCCAATCCCATGGGCCACCCAGCCACACGAAGCCCTGCAATGGGAAGAGCAAATAGCCGATGAAGAGGCTTCCGGGCACTAAGACCTTGAGTTGGCAGATCATTCCAACCGTCCCCTTGCTAGAAGCCAAATACGCAGATAATATCCCCACCTGCCCCGCATGAGTGTCCATTCATGAGCCCCTTGGAATCCTCCGGTTGGGTGTAAGGCGTGTGGGATGCTTCCAGGGTCCAAGAGCGTCCGCGTGTGCTAGGTCTAAACCAGATCCTCAGTTCTGTATAAACGGACGCGTTCTGTGGGCAGCTATCTTGGATGCAGCTCAACTGGACTTGGTAGATTTACCCAGTGACCCTGTTCCTGGCGAAAGCGAACCCATCTCCGACTCGGTCCCACAACACCCTGAAACCAGGGCCGCCCCACGTGGAACAAGTGCACTGAAGCACGAACCTGAAAGGAGATGTCCTGAGGTCACGCGCAAGCAAATCTGACCCTCCTAATTAGTTGAGATTAGTTGAAGCTTCTGGATTCCAAATGTGATCATTCTCATGGGAAACTGAGTGTCCGAAGAGTGCTTACCGTTCATCGATTGTGACTTGGGAGCACTCAACTCCCGAGCATCGTATTGGGAAGTCTTGTCGTATGTGTGTGTGTGTGTGTGCTGTATGTATGTAATTATATGTGTATAATTGTGTATGTACATATCTCATATCTGTGTGTGTGGGGGCAACGTCCACCAAGGCACCGATGCATATGCCCATCACTGAACTCAAAAGCGCAAGGGAAGCAGAATAGAAATGCCATGTCAACGGAAGGCGCTCAGGACAAGCCCCCCTCTCACTTGCAGCTGTAGAATGGAATTCCTGAAGCTGCTCTGAAGACCCAGAACCATACCCCCGCCCTCCTCATTTAGAAAAGAGGCTCCAAGGTACAGTCCAGCAGGGGATGCTCACCTATCTCTCTGGCATGAATTGGGGCGTTTGGATTGTCACTTGTCAAGCCCTCCGAGTGGCGTGGGATTGTCAAAGCACCAATTGGGAGGTCGGGGGCGCTCGGGCGCTCCTGCATGGAGGTGATGGCACGTCCTTCTCCGAAGGGATGCAGCAAGAAGCGCATGGGATGTGCACCTCGCGACGTGGCGTCGCAGATCGCGTCGCAGATCGCGCCGCAGATCCGTGCGAACTAGCCTGTGCTATTTGGAAGAACTGGCATTCAGTATCATTCAGCGTTATTCCAAAGAACTCTACTGTATATATAGCACTATATTGGTATATATATATATACACATACATATATATATATATACATATGGTGTGCAGCTTTTCCGATTGTAATTGAAAACATGTACAGTTTATATAAAGTCTAAAGTCTCCTGATGCAGTCTAAACAGCTAGGGGACATAAAGGACCGCGCCACTCAGCGGCCTTTCCAAGTTGCATCCTTCCTTTTCAAGCAGAAGCTTTAAGAGAAGAAGCCCACCCATCAAGCACTCTCCACAGCTTAAAAAAAGACTGATCAGCGCGGGCGCTCCCCTTGCAGTACAGTGATGGGTGGTTTGCTCATGCACAACCTTCCTCTTCCCACCCCCCCATGTGCTGGTCTCGTCACATCGTGGGAACGGACGGGTCGCCCGCGAGGTCACTCGATGCGCTGGGCTCACAGGCTGCTCTCCGGGAAGATGGTGATGGCCACGTTGAAGAGAAAGCTGAACTCGGCGAACGGCGAACGGACTGCGCTGCGGGAAGACCGCGCTGCGGCTTTCGTGGCCCTTCCCCTTGCAATCTTCCTGATGAAACTACTCCAATCCACTTCATCAAAACGACCTTGGCCATTCCTTGGCTTCAGAAAACTGAAAGGGTAGCGTGGGTCAAACCCCTTCGCAACACAACCATCCTGACCACGGCAGCCTAGCAATTGCACTGTCACAATAGAACTAGTAGATACTAGTAGATCTCATTCATCAGCCCCTTCACAGTCTGTTCGCAACCCCACTGGCACAAACCTGGACACCTTCGGGAAATCGCTCAATGTCTTGCTGGTATTGGCAGGAGCTCCAGGTCATCTCGGCGCTCCACATCGCCAGACCCGTCAAGCACAGCCCCAACAAGACTGTCAACAAAGACATAGGTACCCCAGGTGACGGGTCCTAGTTCAGGTCACTTATAACTTAACCTCTCCTGGTGCGGCAGCCGGTCCTTTTCCACATGCTCGCATGACAACCCTTCAGTTCCGCCAGTTGCGAGTGTGACGCACTGGCCCTGGAGAACACGAGGGAACCTGCTGGCGACGGCTGGTCGGTCTTCATCACAAGCCTCACTGAGAGAGAGAAGTCGCCCTCCGGAAGTGCACATTGCAAAATGTTAACAAGTCTCGCACCACCAGCCTTTGAGAAAACAAAAGGAAGCATTAAAGTCACTCATACACCCAGTCTGGAGGTCGTTCTATATCACCCCAGATCCACGCGTCCTTTCGGAGGGCGACATCGCCACCGGGGCCGGAGCCCGCCGCCCCCGGCCGACATTTGGACCGGGGCGGGCCGGGCACCGGAGCGGCTTTGGTGCGGCCAATTCGGAGGGAGCAGACGCGCCACTGGGCGCGCGTCACCTGGCGGCACCGCAAGCAGCAGCAGGACATCACACTCGCACTCACTCATCATGGGTGTGGAGTTCACCCGGGCGTGGAGTTCACAAGGAAAGTCATCTTCCAAGGGACCATGCCATCCACGTAACCATGGTGTTCATCAGAGTGTAGATTAATCCGCTCATCTGCTTGATTATGATTAAAGGGGGGGTCCGGTAATGGTACACATCAAATAGCACACACACTCGCGGAATGAATCTTCTTTTCGCCTCTTTTTCTCCACATCTTCACCGGCATCGCCTTTCCCCCAACAAACCCATGCAGGACGTAACACCGACATATACCATGCCTCTAGTGGTACATCAGGTGAGCTCCAAGGTGCTCTTCTTGCGCTTGGTGCCCGCCACTTCTCGCACCACACCGGCCAGGTCCTACAAGGCCCGCTGAGGCCTAGAGCGCACAGCCCCACCCTGGAGCTATGTACGTAGCCCGCCCCACCAGCACGGGTCGAAGCGGCAGACTCAGGAATACGAATTGGATTGCAAAACACCAGCGGCAGACTCGGTTCACGTCTATCTTTGCCCAGTACACCCCACAAATCCCAAGACCAGCAATGCACACCAACGCGTCGTATCAGGTCACCGGTAACCCCTCCACCCATCCAACAAACCTTCCCATGCACACGCCCAACTTCCCCCCCCCGGTGTCCCCCGGGTCCTTGCAGGCCACCGTGCCCAACTCCCCGCGCAAAGCGGCATCCTTGAGCCGTTGCTCCTGCGTCACCAGCCGGTGGCATGTGCTCCGGAGCCGTGGCAAACGCTTCAGCACCGCTTGCTCCAGCGCCCCATCAATGAGCTGGAGCTGGTCCTCTCATGGCTGCTCCGGCGCAGGGGTTTTCCGTGGCGGTGTTCCTTGGGTTCCAGGCATTTTGTGTTCAGATCCCAGTAGTTTGTGCAAACCCAAGAGGGTCTTCCAAACCACGAAGTAAAGCTGGTGGAAATCCCCAACACTTGGCATCATCAGTTCGGATCTGTTTTTTTGGGGAAACCTATTGAAAGGTCACAAGTCAAGCCGCATCAGGGGCAACAATCAAAAGCACTGAACCCTTCCAAGGTTATGCCCTTGGATTCGCGCCTGACATCTTTCATTGATCTCAGCACGACGCACGGTTCTGAAAGCAAACGCCTTGCGATCGAAATGATAAAATTATTTTCCCAATGCTCTTGGAAAGGCCGCGCTTTGACTTTGGAAGGCTTACAGGATCAAAATTCACATGTGCCCAACGGTACGCTTCTGAAGTGTCAGGGCGGCGACTTTTGAAGTGCAACGTCATGTTTCTGAAAACATATTATGGTTGTATATATTGTTATTGTTGCCTTGCGACGCATTACCTCATGCTTTTGAATGCACAAACTTGCATATATAATCGAAATACCCAAATACGCTTCCGAAAATATCAATCCAAGTTCTCTACCAATGAAAAAGATTGAGAGTTGTTTTTGTCACAATTGTGCGTTTGTGTCTGTGTATGCCATGGCTGTGAAAACAATCCAACTGAACCAATGCTGGTGTGGTCGATGCTGGTGCAATTTTCTTCTTAGGCCCTAGGGTAAAGTATCTCTACAGATCTCAGGGTCTTACGCTGGTTTCGCCGGAACGGGTCGCTTCGCAACCGCACACCCCCAAAAACAGAAGAGTGCTTCGCCAAGTGGTTTCGCCCAGTGCTTCCAACCGTTATGACCCTTCGAACCCTTCGAACCAGGTCACACTACGACCTCTGCTCCACGCGCCACCGCGGTTGACATCGCCACTCCACGGCCCCCCCCCCCCGCGGTGCAGTGCTCCTTGAGCTCCAAGCGTGTGATGTCCGGCAACTCCTGGCGAGATCGGGTGCGGACCTACGGTTCCAGGCTCCAACTACCGTCGTTCCAACGGGCTCCGTTTGGGACGGTGCGTTGGTTCCAAAAGAAGGACCGTCCAACTACAAACCGTCCTTCTATTTCAAATCAGGACTCAAGGAGTAACCTGTCAAAAGAAGAACGGTCTTGGTCCTTGTACATCCTTGTACTCCAGTCTCGAAGCGAGCTACCCTTTGGAGCGCCTTTGGGGCCCGCAGGACCCGTCCAAAACCCCGCGTGGCGTGTCCAAGGGTGACAAGACGGACACAATGGCTCAATGAAAACATGAACACATCTTAACGTCTTGATGCCAGAGAAGAGCCGTTGGATCTCAGGGAAGCTTTCCTTGATCCATTCTTGTCGACCGTTCCCTCATGGCTGTGGGGCCAACACTGGCCAACACCAAACTGGCCAAAACCACAGGTCACCTACGACTACAAGGGAGGAATGAAGGGGGCTCGAAGGGGCAATGGATGAAACACAAGGGTGGAATGAACACGAAGACCCCAACCAAAGCATCCACCCTGCGCATGCTGCACCCTGCGTTCCGCCCTGCGTTCCGCCCTGCGTTCCGCCCTGCGTTGTGTGCCCGCGTGCCTTCACCAGCTTGGTCTCTAAGGCATCGACCAGGTGATCCAACTGCCACCGATGTGCCAGATCCAACGCCTGCTCAAAGCTCGGAGTGCCACGTCGCATCCAAGAAGACCCGAGATAAGAGGATCTATATATGGGGCCCTGGCTAAGGCTTCGACCCCCTCAACCGGGTCACCACTATAATCATACTGACCAAATGCTCCTCCTCCCACCCACCCACCCACCCACCAGCATGCCCCTCCCAACCTCGCCTCCAAATGGATCGACATGGGATGTTCCTTGCCAGGAAACGCACGCACCACACACAAGTCACAAGTGCATGCAGTTTTTCTCTGTATGGCTCAAGCACTTCACCTGTCCACCTACCCCGCGCCTTGTCGGGACATCCCGTGTAGATCAAGCTCACCAGGTGCCGCAGCGCCTCCTCCGACACGTTGGACGGGATCTTCTGCGTCTGCCCCTCGCGCATCGGAGAGCTCAGCGCCGCCTGTTCCGGCGGCTCGGGACGAACAAAACCATGGAAGGGGAGGTGGAAGGGCCATGCGACCGACCCCCAAAAAAAACCATAGGCATCTCCGGCAGTCTCCCTGTCCCAAAAACGATCAAAACACTCAGATCAGCACCGTTCCATCTTCTCACACTCGGTCTTGGGCCCCGTCAGCCCCTTCTCCCAGCTTCAGAGCTTCGCCCCTCTGGACCTTGAAGAATTCGGAGGCGCTGCACAGGACCAAGGAGTGCGCCCAAACGCTGCTGCTATCTGCCGCCTGTGGTGAGGACAGCGGACACATGCTGAGGTGCGCGATGAGGGTGGTTTCTGGGCTTGGAGGACGGCGGGTGAAATGGGGAGCCCCATTGGCGCCCGTCCTCCCAGCCCGAACCTCCAAAGGAGACGTCGCTCCACCACCGCCCAGCCCGCGCGCGCCCTTCGCTCGCACCCGGCCTGGAGCTCTACATCGGCAGAGCTCAGGTTCCCCAGCGCATTGGACCAGGTCTGAACGATGTGCCGGTTGATCAGCATCAGGTTGTCCGACAACGTTAGGCTACCTGGGCGCGAACCCAGTGGGGGTCGATCTGATTGGGGGGTTCTGGCAGCACTCGGCGGGCGTGGATCGAAGGAAGTGCAAAATTAAGACAAGGACAAGGCTAAGCAACTGCGATCAGCCTGCGTAGTGTTCCTTGCTGCACCCACCTCCTACGTGAGCAAAAGATTGAAAGCCACCAGTCTCCATTCCCAGTGCCCAGAGCAGTTCAGGAAGCGACGAGGACACCTCCTTTCAGCCCTCCTTTTGCGGCTTCGTCGTCTTCGGTAGCCCAACCGGTCCGGTGAGCCCCGCGGGACACACACCACCCATTCCGTTCGGGGCGTGTTCAACCTCCCCCCACAGCCAGGCACAGTCCGCCATCCCCACAGCACCAGGTCACTGGTCGTAAAGACGCTGGCGAGCTTGTCGATCCGCTCGCTGTACTTTCTGTACATCGGATTCCTGAAGGGCGCGGAGTCCACGTGTCCGGTCTCCGCGTGGGCGAGAGGGAGTTCCACCGGGGGAGCGACACCAACAGTGCTTCCTGCAACGTCTGAAACATTCAGAGCCAATTGGTCCTGGTTCACATTCTTCTTCGCTCAGGCCTAGCTGGGCC